AAAAAAAAAAAAAACCTCTGGATCAATCCCTAATTCACTGATCAGCAGTGTCCTGAGATGAGAGCTCCCTCCTTCAGCTGGAAGCTCTGAGGACAGAGAAGAAAGTGCTGGGGCGGCCCTCGGCCTGGCGACCCCCCCCCTCCAAGCCCGGCAGTGACGGCTCACCCCAACTAAGGGCCCTGGGTGATCAGGGGAGGGGTTCCGAGCTCCGGGAGCCCTGCGTGGGGACCAGCGCTCCCTCTGGAAGCCTGACGTGGCCAAAGCCAGCTGACTGAGCAACTCCCCACTGCCGGGACCCCTCAGGCCCCGGGAGGCCACAGGCTGTCACTCCCTTCCGGGTCGCCTGGGCTCCTGCCCCCGCACCCTGCAGGTCCGTGGCAGCCCGAACCCCGCACGGTACCTGAAGCAGGAGGATGAACTGCGGGAACCTCTGGATCGGCTTCACCATCAGCCCGTAGAGCGTGACACGGTCAGGGCTGCATACCTGCCGACGCTGTTGGAGAAGGGGCGGAGCCGTCCGCTGACCTCCCGCGGCGAGGGCCCAGCCACAACCTGAAGCCCCACCCGAGCCAAGCCCGAGCCAAGCCCGACGGAGGAGCACAGCCCCAACAGGGCCAGGTCCCCCCCCAACGGACCCGCCCATCACCTCGCCCATCCGAGACAGGCCGCTGGCCTCCTGTTCCACCTGACAAACCTCCAGATTCCCAGGCTGCTTACGGATCTGTCCACCTCGTCATCACCCTCCTCTTGGGGGGCAAGAGGGACCGATCCTCTCCCCCCAGGACGGGGGATGTCCCAAAGGAAAGGGGGGGTGGCATCCAGGCCACAGCGATGATGTGACACCCGAAGCTGGGCCACAGGGCCCTCTCCCTCCTGAGAAACCCGTGAGAGGGGCCCACCTTGAGGAACTCGAGGAAGGCAGGCTTGGTGAGACAGGCCTTCTTGATGATGGACATGGCGTTGGTGAAGTTGTTCACATAGTCACTGTAGACGTCTAGCACCATGGACTTGGAGAACTGGGGTGGGCACGGGGGCAGGGAGGGAGGGTCACTGTGACGTGAGGGGAAGGGCAGGCGGCACCCCTGCCCTCGGTGCCAGGTACCCAGAGGCTCGCAACCAGCCCTGTGGTCAGGAGACCTGTCGCCCTGCTGAGGGGACGAACCCAGGCTCCGAGGGGTGGAGAGATGCCCACGGTCCAGGGAGGGAGGGGCGGTGCTAAGGAGAGACCAGGGACCCTCCTCCTCTCCCAGCAGGGTGACCCGGGAAGGCGAGGGGAGAAGGGACAGAGGTGGGGGCAGCCACGATGCCCCTTTTTGCATTTCCTCACCACCCCAGGAAGTAAAATGCCCTGGGCCTCCAGCCCCGAGGACAGCACTCCTGACCCCAGGTCCTTGTCCACACCGACCAGGATATCAGATCTATTGAATGCTGGGGTTTGCAAAACCATATATATTTTTTCCTTTTAGCAGAACCCAGTGATCTAAAACAGATCCACTGACTTGATGCGCCCACCCCCCACAAATCTCTTTGGGGTTCACAGACTGCAGTTTGAAAAACCAAGAGTCCCCCCTCAGACGGGGGGCCTGAGCCCTGAGAGAGCCCTAGAGCTGGCCAAGGTTACAAAACTGAGCTGGGACCCAGCCGGGCCTCCTGGAGAGCAAGCCAGTGCACCTGCCCCTTGCCCTGTAGCATAGAGTCCTCTGGGGGCCAAGGCCATGGGATGCGAAAGCATCTCATATGGTGAGCAACCTGCGGGTACTCAGACCAGGCCGGTGAGCACCCTGCGGGTACTCGGACCAGCCGGGTGAGCACCCTGTGGGTACTCAGACCAGCAGGGTGAGCACCCTATGAGTACTCAGACCAGCCACCCCAGCAGGGCCAGAACAGTGAGCTGGCTTCCCCAGCACCCTGCCCACAGACATCTCCAAGGACCCACTAGAAGCTGTCGTGTGCACCCCAGCTTGGGCCAGGCAGACTCAGGCCCTGCTTCCCCCTGACCCTGCCGGCTTGGACAGGTGACCAGGTGGAGGCAGGAGGCTGGCCCGGATGACATCCGGGTCAGGGCTGCGGTGTTCACCTTGGTGGGGGCCGGGGAAAGATAGTCTGGGATACCTACTGAAGCCACGAAGAGGTCCCCAATCTTCTCGGTGGAGTCCCACTCGGCCACCCGGGAGGACAGGGCTATCTGGAACATGGAGTGGCAGTGTAGGATCTCCTTCACGCGGAAGAACACCACCTGGCACTTACGGGCGCTCAGCACCTTGGGTTCCATCTCCATCAGGGGGTTGCGGTAATCCTGCGGGGCGGGGGGGGGG